AAAGGCAACAATGACAGGTATGATATACATACGAAAATGTTTGGGCTATGTCTACATGAATTGTGCTACTTGAGCAGAGACCAAAATTGGAAGCCTCGTCAATTTAATATAGCATTCCACTATGGTTAGGTTAAAAAAAATAGAGCATCATCAGCATGCTAAATCATTTTGTGAAACCTGGTTGGTGGTTGACTGAAAGAATTCAAAGGAGAATACGTAGCATATTTTTTTAGTGTGATAGGTTGCATAGAAGTCTCTAAATAACCAATTCCAGATTTGAGCGACGATCTAAAATAAAGGGAACTAATTAAAAAATAGATGTGAAGCATGTATTTTACCTCCGCAGGCTTACACCTTGAGGCCGAGTGATCCAAGCGATCCAGGCAATGATGATTCACTTCTTTAGCATTTGAATAGAATTAGAGTTTTCGTAGTCTTTGACAGGGAAAATGAAAGCACGTTCTCAAGTGATATATTGTGCACTCACAGATTGCATAAATCTGTTAGTTTGTGATAGAGCGCAGGTCTAAGCATTGGGGTAATAATCATATTAGACTCCAACAGGTGATAATATTTTTTATCATAACCTGCTGATGCAATGCAACTTATACGCAACAATCTTATGTGATGACCATAAAGGAAATTACCTATCAGCTGGAAAAAATTGTCTGAACAGAGATCCTTTCCAAGCATTACATATAGCTTCTTCTGAGTTTCTGTACATAATAGAAACAAATATGCAGAGGATAATAATCATTCTAGAGTACAGTAACTTTTAGTTGGTAAAAGTCTTCGTATGGATTAATTGCTGAAATTACATTCTCACTAATACCAGTGATCCAGGCAATGATGATTCACTTCTTTAGCATTTGAATAGAATTAGAGTTTTCGTAGTCTTTGACAGGGAAAATGAAAGCACGTTCTCAAGTGATATATTGTGCACTCACAGATTGCATAAATCTGTTAGTTTGTGATAGAGCGCAGGTCTAAGCATTGGGGTAATAATCATATTAGACTCCAACAGGTGATAATATTTTTTATCATAACCTGCTGATGCAATGCAACTTATACGCAACAATCTTATGTGATGACCATAAAGGAAATTACCTATCAGCTGGAAAAAATTGTCTGAACAGAGATCCTTTCCAAGCATTACATATAGCTTCTTCTGAGTTTCTGTACATAATAGAAACAAATATGCAGAGGATAATAATCATTCTAGAGTACAGTAACTTTTAGTTGGTAAAAGTCTTCGTATGGATTAATTGCTGAAATTACATTCTCACTAATACCAACATTTAAGAATAAGAAAAATAACAGAGAACTTGCAAATGTCTCTTAACAATCAGATGCCACCAATAATGGAAATTAACTATTGACAAAAATACACCATGAATAATTCCTATTCATATGAACTGATCGAGTTTTATTCTCTGCATCAAATTCTGACTCCCCTAGAAAAGAGGACTGGAGATAATGAGACTGTACCAGGAGAAGCTAGAATAGCTCGTCGCAAAAACATGTTAACAATGTAACTATTTTTAGCAAACAATAGACATGTTTATGGCAAATAACATAATGAGAGTGAAGGAAAATAAATAGAGGGAAAATATCACAGTGCAAAAAAATGTCAGCTATTTGTTCTTTTCAAGGCATTATAACATTGAGTATTCTGAATTGGTGCTTTGGATGTATGGAAGTGAGGTTTGACATTATAGATCATGTTGGATGTATGCGGTAATTTTTTGCCAGAGATAATTTGGAAGAACACTAAAATTGGATGTTTGGAACTATTTATTGGCCCTGGGTCCATTTTTATGTGCTACATTGTTGTATTTGTAAGCTTTCTTTCTACAAATACTGAAACAAATAGGGAAAAAGTTCATCAAAACCCATATATCTCTTCTGTAGGGATACTCTTCACCAACCTCAAGTAATCAAAACGAAATTTGAGTAAACAACTTGCAGAAAACAATGCACTTCTTTGAATTTTGAACCTTTTCAAACACCAAACACCAAAAACAATCAGAAGGGGAAGGTACCAATGTTAATTGGCAGATCCTAAACTAAAGTACATATATTTCTGTTAAAAGTGTCAAGCAGAGTATATTACCAAATGCTAATTGGTAGATCCTAAACTATCTTACCTTTCAAATTAACACACGATATCGTAAGCACCGGTGAATCTTGGAACAACATAGCACTCAGTATAGGAAAAAAATAATTTTCAAAGAATATTAGAGATCAATATATCAAATCAAGTTTAGAATGATCTACCGCCAGCTGCCTCCAGATAGACATCTCTCTAGCACCATGAAGCACTGCATCATGGAATTTGGCCTTGAGATCTACCAGGCATGCTGTAAAAACCTGAGATCTGTACAGTAAGCCTCTTAGATGGTGGGCACCTGGAGTGTGTCAATAGGAAACCAAGGATTTGAATCATTCTAAGGAAAAAGGAGACAAGCATAAACAAAATGGAGGATAAAATGGAGGTAATTTTCATAAGGCTTGCAGTGTTTTTAGTTAGAACCAGAGTCCTATATAAACAATTATGCATCAGTGGCTAAACTGCTAAAGTGATATAGTATAGACCATGTATTGCAACAAAACTAATCTCTATTTATGTCCTGGTGTGCCATATAAGACGGGATACAATTTTTACGACCACTGAAAGGTACATGTAACAAATCAGATTTAGTAGGACATATTTTCTATATTAAAAAAGCAGTGGATATATTTTCTGGTGTATGAACGTAAAATGGAACTCTGGATGCATACTGAGATGTAAAAAAACAAAGAAATGTAGAATTAGTATCCTGGGTTGTCAATGACCATGGTATTTCATAGTAAATAAATTACCATTATTATTGATAGGTGACTCTAATAAACTATCACAAATGATGATTTCTCTTAATCGTAATTTACACACTTTGCAAATCTACACATCTTTAGGCATCGTCTACAGCTATGCTGTACAACAATCAAGGGAGAGCCTTGCTTGACCTACAGACAACCGCTGAATATGCAAACAAAAAACACAATGAGATGATATACAATCAAATTTTCCGTAGAATTAGCCAAGACAAATTCGGTCTTACCTCCAACCTGACCAATAAGCACTTGCCTCTCTAATCTGATGGATCTACGGGCACTGAACGCCAATGTTGCTGGTCCCTTTTCAAACCGATTAATTAATTTCTTCAAAAATGTATACCTGGAGGAAATACATGTTTGTGACAATGGGTAGAGGGCAAAAATGAAGGAGAAAAAGTTTTCAGGTGCAGCAGAGGTTGTGCAATGCACATGGAAGCAAGCGACCAGATTAAACCTTGGCAAGCTTGGCTAGTTGACTGTACAGGTATAAAACAATGAAAGTAAGAGTAAGACAGTGAGCATTATGTCTTAGATCTCTTTTCATTCGGGAAAATAACTGTCTTCGCCCCTAAGTCTGCAAGTTCAGTTGTTAGCTGATAAAAGAAGTAGGAAATAATTATTTAGTGCAGTTATCGTATAAGACCGTACAGTTGTTGGCAAAAAAAAATTTGAGGTCAACTGCAGTTATCATAGATCCATCAGCTACGATCTTACAGACCATATAATAATAACCAAATAATATAAAGGCAGCGGCACTATAACAGTTCAAAACAAAAGGAGCACCTAACAGGCATGTAAAAACGGGTACTAACCTGAGAAGAAGCATAGCGTGTGCACCAGGTGATGCAAGGTATTCCTAAAAAAGGTGATCAATAAATCTAGCTGCGAAAAAATAGAAGAAAATGACAGGCATTAGCAAATCTTTCTAGCAGAAAAGGGAATGGCAGAATTCAGTAAACGAAAGCACGGATCTGAAGAGCAGGCATTAGGACCTGGTTGCCGCCGCTACTGTCGTCGGCGACTTGTAGCACATGCAGCTAGGGTTTCCTGTAGCACATGAAGAGGCCGGAGCAGAGGAAGGAGGCAGCTCAGGGACAGCCAAGGCGGCGGCCACCGGCTGGGCCGGTCGCGCCGCGCCGTGGCCGGAGACGACCACCACAGGGGCGCACGCGCGGCACCGCGGTGCAGCCCGGGAGCGCCTCGCACCCCCAGTGCCTTGTCCCGTGAGCCTGCGGCGCTGGGCCACCTGGCACGGCACGATGCGAGGGGAGAGGAGGAGGAGGACCGCAGCCGCCGCGTCCGCACCGGCGGTCGCCGCGTCCGGATCGAGAGGGAGAGGGAGAGAGCGCTGGGGAGAGAGAGGGCGACGGGGAGAGAGAGGAGAGCGACGGGAAGAGACGAGATATTTCCAGATGGGTTGAGAAGGAGAAGCTGGAGTATATATCTGATTGAGTGGATTTGGATGAGAAGCCGGAGCAGGTAAAGAGAAGCTAAGCAAAAGGCAGCTAAGCTAAGGAGAAGCAGGAGGAGCAGCTTCGCACGAAAGCAGATTCAACGATTTTAGGCCGCAGGATGGGAAATCGGACGGCCACAAAATTTCGGGACGACGTGGACGGTGGTTCCTTCGGGAAACCACCTCTGGCTTGTATAGGTAAATGTGACGAGGGTCTATGTCTGAACAGTGTTTAGAAGAAGAAGAAAAAAACACACTGCAACATGAGTTGTCAGACACGCAAAGGTATTCGCTCCTATGCGGATACGCAGCTATGCTGTGAAACGTTGACTGCTGACCCATCGATAACAAACTGCACTGCACACCTGTATATATATATATGTATATACTAAAATAGCCTAGGCGTAAAAGTTGACCAGCACCGCAAATATTGAATTGAATTGAACACGTCACATCTCTTAGCCGTCGCACCGGCAAATGGACCCGGTCCTGGCTGTGCCCTGCATCTTTAATTTGTGTCTGTAACGTCAAATGCCTGAAGGCGGTGAAGGCAGTACTAGCGTGCTACGTATATACGGAGTACATACATATAGACGCACGACGTCCGTGCCTTCCAGCAACAACTCGGTGACGGCTGCTGTGGTGCTGGTAGCAACAGCAAGTAGCAACCATGGGAAGTGCTTCGGCCAACGTCCGTGAGATCTGCCGCGCACAGCGTGCCGACGGCCCTGCAGCCGTGCTCGCCATCGGCACGGCCAACCCGGCCAACTGCGTGCTCCAGGACGAGTTCCCGGACTTCTACTTCCGCGCCACCAAGAGCGACCACCTCACTGGCCTCAAGGAAAAGTTCAAGAGAGTTTGTAAGCATGGAACCTCATCAACCAGCTAGCTTAGCTTTGTTGTTTACCGTAACTTTAGCCGATCAGAGCTGAAACATTATCTAGATCGACATGCACGTACACACGCTTCACTGCCGATGGATGCATGCATGATGTTGCCAACTAGCTAGTATGTGATTGTGATTTCTATGTACCCCAGGCCAGAAGCTGGGCGTGCAGAAGCGCTACCTGCACCACACCGAGGAGCTGCTGAGCGCGCACCCGGAGTTCCTCGACGACTCCTCGCCGTCCCTCGACGCGCGGCTGGACATCGTCAAAGACCGCCGTGCCGGAGCTCGCCGCGCAGGCCTGCAGGAAGGCCATCGCCGAGTGGGGCCGCCCGGCCGCCGACATCACGCACCTCGTCGTCACCACCAACTCCGGCGCGCACATCCCGGGCGTCGACTTCCGGCTGGTCCCGCTGCTGGGCCTCCGCCCGACCGTGCGCCGCACCATGCTCTACCTCAACGGCTGCTTCGCGGGCGCCGCCGCGCTGCGCCTCGCCAGGGACCTGGCCGAGAACAACCGCGGCGCGCGCGTGCTCGTCGTCTGCGCCGAGGTCACCGTCCTGCTCTTCAACGGGCCCGAGGAGGGGTGCTTCCAGACGCTCGTCAACCAGGGCCTGTTCGGCGACGGCAAGGGGGCCGTCATCGTCGGCGCCGACCCAGTGGCGGTCCCGGCACCGGCCGAGCGCCCGCTGTTCGAGATCGTGTCCGCCGCGCAGCGGCGCAGGCCATCATACCGGAGTCCGAGGGCGTCATCACCATGCACCTCACCAGGGGCGGATACGGCGGCAACATCTCCACTAGGCAGTGGTTTCCTTTTTTTTTTTTGCCGAAATCTCCTGATATTTCAGATTTATCCTTTTTATCCATAGGTGCCGATAAGAAAATATCTTTCTTTTTCGTATAAATTTTGTTTAAATTTATTTAAATTTAATTAAATTCACTTAAATTTAAATTAAATTTTATTTGAATTTGGTCCGATATTTTCGATATATCCTGTTTATTCTCTTTATTTGTGACCCCGATAAATTTTAATTTCCGAAAATAAAAACCTTCCCCGTACTCATCGGCGACAACATCGAGCGCTGCCTCACGGACGCTTTTGCGCCGCTCGGCATTATTGGCGCCGAATGGAACGACCTGTTCTGGGACGTGCACCCGGGCTCGTCGGCGATCCTAGACCAGGTCGACGCCGTGCTCAAGCTCAAGCCTGAGAAGCTGGCGGCGAGCAGACGTGTCCTGAGCGAGTACGGGAACATGTTCGGCGTCACGGTGATCTTCGTGCTCGACGAGCTGCGCCGCCGGATGGAGAATGGAGAAGAGGAGGGGACGCCAGAGTGGGGGGTCATGGTGGCGTTTGGACCCGGGCTCACCGTTGAGACTATGGTGCTCCACCGATCAGGCACCCCAGCCGAGAAGAAGCTGGCTGAGGCATGAGAAGGTGGACGTGACCAATTTGTGTTGGAAGTTGGAACTTGGATAAGGATTGCATGCATGTTCCTTGGTCAACATTCCGTTTATGCCTGTATGTAATAATGTGCAAGACTATGCTCGTTTCGTTTGAATTCTTGTGTAGTAATACTATAAACGCAGAGTCGGATAACTGATCTCATTGCAGACGTTTATTGTTGACTTTAGGCTATAATAAATAAAGTCAAGTACATAAACAACTGCTAAACTTCATTTGACTACAAATACAGTAAATGCAATGCAAGTGATCGGAGTGACTTCTATGGAGAGGGTTCTTAATATTCCAGTGACGTGGCTTTCCACCAAACTGTCAACTTTCCCAACATTACGGGGTTGTGTCACGTATGTGATGTCTCCCGCGTAGAGCCGCCATTTTTTATAGTTATTGGTTGGCAGAGACAAGCAACATGTAATTTTGTTATAGGTGTTATCCTTTTTTTAACATGGAAGAGATCTCCATTACGCAATAACTGGGTCCAAATCATTGGCCAACAGTATATGGATACAATTTGGAATACTTTCAAATACAGGAGCAGTACCCGGACTCAAATTGCACCCAATAGCAGCAAGGCCATGAGCCACTGCATTACAAGATCGTGGATTATGAACTACTGACCAAGAAACAAAATTAAGCCGCAAAAAAGCCCTCAGTTCCCACACCAGGCCGCTCGCTGAGCTTCGATCAGTCTCCGCAGACATCACCTACTGAACTACCATCGATGCATCCGTCTCTAGGATCACCCTTTGCAGGCCAAGGTCAGAAGCCCGCTGAAGAGCTTGTAAACAGGCTATCAGTTCTGCATGAAACGGTTCTAACACCTTCTCCAATTTGCCAAAAACAGTACTGATTACCTCCCCTTTGGAGTCACGAATCACAAAGCCCAACCCCCAGCTTGATCATTGTGTTGGAAGATCCCATCACAACTTATTTTTCACAAACTCTGGTGGTGACTTTCTCCATCATTCCTTTGCTTCTCTCCTTCGCAGACTCTGCATCTTTCCGACCACCAAAAATACAACAAGATGATCACCTGACATTGCAATTTTTTTTAGTTTCAGAATTATCTCGACTACCTCCCTTGCTGTCTACGCATTCACCAGGTTTTGTCTAATCTGTTCAAGGTTCAATTCATCCCAAATCTTTCTCGCACACTTGCATTTGAAAAATAGGTGGCCGTCATCTTCGTCATATCTCCCACACAACACACATCTCGTATCTATTTTCATCCCACGCAGTTTGAGGTTGATACGTAGTGCCAGGCTATTATGACTGAATCTCCACATGAAATGCATCATCTCCCTTGAACATGTGATCTTCCAAAGCTCCTTCCAGAACCTTTCCTGCCTTCTTCCTGAGGACGTAGCAGCTCTCACAGCTCTAACCCGATTTCGCCTCTTGTACTCATAATGCACTTTGTAGGCTGACTTCACCGTGAAAATGCCATTCTTATTGTAATGCCAATCTGGGATATCATCCATTCCCTCATGTACTGGAAGGCTCAAAATCCAGCTCTGCATTCTGTATGTGTCCCTAACAAGCCCATTTACCCCCTCCGTGATCAAGCCATCTTTTTCAGCCATGTTCAAAAGTGCACTGAATCGGGGATCCCCCGGACGTAGGCCTCGCTCTGGCTGGAAACTAGCTGAAAGATTGCCATTTATCTTCACCTTATAAGACACCATGGACACGCAGTTCATTATCAGATTGATCGACTCATGAAAACCCAGCCTTGCCATCATAGCTCCCCAAAAGGACCATTCAACCCGATCATATGCCTTTTTCATGTCCAATTTTACAGCCCACCGTTCTGCACCCTCCTCTTATTGCGCATATAAAGTCAGCTCATAGGCTATCAAAATATTATCTGAAATTAGCCGCCCGGGAACAGAAGCACTCTGATTCGGAGACATGATTGTGTTGGCCCACAGGATCAATGGTTCAGGTGAGTCGACCACCCATCAGTCTTGCCGACCACGATAAACGTTGTTCAACCATACACTATGGCTAGAGGTAGAAGAAGGGAGGGAAAATAGAGCATACAAATACAGCAGAGACACCAGCGTTGACCGGAGCTCTGTATAGGAGATGGCAAATCTGAACTCTCTCTTTACTGAGTTGCAGTGGCAAACTATATATACAACTCTATTCATCTAGTCCTAGTATAACTGCCATGTTGCTACAGTGCCTAGATGTGACAGCAGGGCTGACTCTGGCGCCTGCTCCTGTTGTGGCTACAGTGCGGCAGGTGAGCCGTTCGGCGCCTGCCCCTGTAGTGGCTACAGTAGCACAGCAGGGTACCTTTTCGTCGTCGTCTTCCCTTACCGTGTGTTCACACAAGGGAGTAGTAGATTATCTAACAATTCTTCCCCTAATCCTACTGCTAACCCTTAAACCCCCTCCATGCCGATCATCTCCTTCAGCTCCGTGAGTCGAAGACGGCCGAGCGGCTTGGTGAGGACGTCCGCGAGTTGCCGACCAGTTTCAATGAACTCGATGACGATCTGCCCTCCATCGACACAGTCCCTAACGAAGTGGAACTTAACGTCGATGTGCTTGCTCCGGTCATGGAGAACCAGATTCTTCGCGAGGGTGATGGCGGGCTGGTTGTCCACCATCAGTGCTGGTGGGTGAGCTTCCACACCGATCAGCTCGCCCAGCAGCCAGCGCAGCCACACAACTTGGCACGCCGCTGTGCTGCCGCTACGTACTCTGTCTCGCACGTAGATAGCGCCACCACCTTCTGTTTCAGTGACAACCATGTGATCGAGCCGACCCAAGGAAGACGAGCAGGCCAGATATGCTCCGCCGTCCGTCAATGTCCCCCGCCATGTCTGCATCGCTGAAAACAGTGAGCTGCAACCTACTTCCGTCGGTCTTGGGAAAGACGATCCCCTGATCCACCATCCCCTTGAAGTAGCGTAGTAGCCGCTTCACTGCAGCCCAGTGATCCTCGCTGGGATCCTCCATGAAACGACTGACGTAGCCCACGGCGAACGCAATGTCTAGCCTCGTGTGGACTAGGTAGCGCAGACCGCCGACGATACTCCGGTAGAGTGTTGCATCTACCTTCGCCGTGGTACTGGCCTTTGTCAGCTTTAGCCGCTCCTCTATCGGAGTCACGCATGGCTTGCACTCAGCCATGCCGCTCCGCTCCAACAGCTTTGAGGCGTACGCACTCTGATCGAGCGTGAGTGCTTCCTTCTCCTGTCTCACCTCAATGCCGAGGTAGTAGGAGAGCGCCCCGAGATCGCTCATTCGAAAAAGAACCGCCATCTCACGCTTGAAGCTGTCGATGTCCTCTGCACATGCACCGGTGATGATCAAGTCGTCCACATACACGCCGACAACGAGCTCTTCCTTCCCCCATCGCCGCGTGTAGAGCGCGTGCTCGGTTGCACACCTTATGAACCCAAGCTCGCCCAGCGTGGCGTCAAGCTTGGCGTTCCACGCTCGTGGGGCTTGCCGTAGCCCGTAGAGCGCCTTTTGCAGTCGGACCACCCTATGCTCCACTCCCTTGACGGTGAAACCCGAAGGTTGTTTGACAAAGACTGTCTCCGCCAGCTCGCCATTGAGGAAGGCCAATTTTACGTCCAGGTGATGGACGCGTCAGTCCTTTGCTGCTACCAACGCTAGTAGCAAACAGACAGACTCCATGCGCGCTATTGGCATAAAGACTTCCTCGAAGACGATGCCCTCGCGCTGAACAAAGCCTCGGGCGATGAGGCATGCCTTGTGCTTGACAATGGTGCCGTGCTCGTCCCGCTTGACCTTGTACACCCACTTTAGGCTGATCGGACGACATCCGAGAGGTGGATCGACGAGCTCCCAAGTCTCGTTTTCCTCGATCACCTTCATCTCTTCCAGCATCGTCCATCGCCAATTTCCATCGCGCTCGGGCAGCGCAAATGTGGGTGGTTCCTCTGCACTGACGAGCAGCAGCTCTTGGTCATTGAGTAGCCAACCCACCAGGCCTAAGGGCCCTGTGCCGCCGATGATGTCATCCAGCCTATGGAACCGCACCTCCTTACCTTCATGGAAGGCATCCACGAACTCAGTGATGTCACTTGGAGGTGAGGTGAACTCGATCGATGTCGATGGAGTTCCCTGTGTCCGCCGGAGTGCTCGGCATAGCACCTGGAGTGCTCGGCACCCTAGATGCAGTGCTCCACACTACTCCTAGACCGCTCATCACCACTCCTGGAGTGGTCTGCATCCCCCAGGAGTGCTCGGCACCCGTCTTGCAGTGGTCGGCACCACTGCAAGACCCCTCGGCTCCACTACGGGAGTGTTCGGCACCCATCCTGGAGTGGTCATCGCCACTACAGGACGTCCTGGCTCCACTCCTAGAGTGCTCGGCACCTCTCCTAGAGTGCTCGGCACCTCCCCAGGAGTGTTTGGCTCTATCGCTGGAGTGCTCGGCACCCCTTTCGGAGTGCTCAACACCTCTTCCCCAGCATCTCCACCACCATGGATGACCAGGTGCTCGATGATGAAGGTGCTGGTGAAGCCACCAGCTTCCCCTATGCCAGTACTGTTCTAGTCCTAGGCCACCTTCTCGTTGAACCGGGCATGCCACAGCCATGGTTCCTCGGTGTGCCTTGCGGCTAGGCACACCGGCTGCTCTTCCTTCAGGTCGAGCAGGTACAACTAGTCCTGGGACCTCTTCACCTTGGCAAGAAGTCACTGCTCCCGATCCCTGATCCTGAGGACTCCATCCTTGATCAGTACCTCGCTACCACGCTCATCCAGCTGGCCAATGTTGATGATGCTTGAACGCAGCTGTGGAATGTAATATACATCCGTTAGCGCGCAGTGCTCGCCGTTCTGACACCTGAAGATGATGGTGCCGCGTCCTTGGATTGCCACCCTTGAGCCGTCACCAAACATCACCGTACCAGTAACATCGTCATCGAGCTAGGAGAAGGCTGCCTTGGAGCCCGTCATGTGGTTGCTAGCACTAGAGTCC